TACAAATAAAAGTATAAACACGTTTGGTTATCTGAATTGGTGTAATTGGCAGTGTTAGAAACATGTAATGAGAAGAGTAAGTAAAATGAGTTCAGGGGCAAAGAGCTTGTACAGCGAGATCATTACAGCCTTGATGCCTAAATGATCAGATTCTAATCTCTGTGGGACTCCCAGGGCACTTCAGAAGGATGCCCTACTTGTTCTTTATTTATTAAAAATTAAAGCATAAAGGACAAATACCCCAAGTATATTCGAGAAATGCAAGCAGCTTTTGAGACAAATCGAAGGTGAAACTTAGAGGTTTTTAACATGGGGCTCACTGGTGGGTTTCAAGTCACCCACAAATCACCAGAAACCTTATAAAGCACTTTGTGTATTTGTACTTGTGGATTTTGTTGTCTTGAGAGCATGTCTGTATTTTTTTTTTTTTTTCAAGTTCTGAAAGAGCAGCCTCATACCATAGGTGTGAACTGTGGCCTTTCCAATCTATGTCATGCCCGGAAAAGAGGGCCCTTCCAGGTCCCGTGTGAATAGAGATACCTGTTATGTAGCTCCACAAAGCCAACACCACCTAAAGGCTTGCTTCAGCTCCAAATGTGAACTTTTCTTATTGAGGGAAATAGACATGCACTATGGAAGCATGCAGGCAGAGGCCCAGAGGATTTCCAGACCTTGGAAGGCCTTCAGAGAACAACTTGTCCAACATTCTTTTTACCAGTGTGGAAATCGAGACCCGCTGCAGGTCCCACAGCACCCCCAGCTTGTGTTAGGGTGAAAAGGCATCTACTTGCCGCTTGTTCCGTACTGTCTCTTCTCTACCTCTCTCTGGTCCTCAGGAAAATGGGAAGAAATAGGCATGCGATAATAGCACATGCAAGCTTAAATATGAAATTGGACTGTGTTTGCTGACAGCCTGGCCAGGAAGAATGCTCCATGTGACCAGTGAGCAAGAACTCGCTTCTGGCACCACTGAAGACATCTAACGTACATGTCTATGCGGACCCTTCAAACCTACAGACTCACCGACAAGTTTTAACTACCTGTATTTCTTTTCTATTTTATGATTTTATTTTCATTTTTCTTGTTTGTTAAATTTCAATATGAACACTTAGAGAGAATGTGTTTCATATCAAACAGATGCCGTCAGGTCTTCGTCCCTCTCCATTTTCCTTTCAAGTGGCCACACACGAGTGAGCGTATGGACACGGGTTAGAAGAATAGCATGGTGTAGGCTTGATTTGGTGACACGACAGAGCATTTCTTTCCTTTTTCCTTCTTTCTCCCTCATCCTTCCAAGAGAAGATGAGGATCCCTCGTCTGCATGTGTGCCGCGTGGTCTGGGTTCTTCTTCCTGGCGTTCGTATCACCCTTTGTGTGACCAGTTTACCAAGAGCAGGAGACGTTGCCCGATGGCACCGCCTGATCTTCCATCAGCTCTGAAAGAGAAGCCTCGGAATGAATCGAAGCTGAAGAGGGTGGCGGGGCACGGGCGCCTGGGGGAAGGGAGGGCTCACACGTCTTCCAACCCCACGGCCAGTCTGACCTTTGCCCTCTGCCTCTGACAGCTCAGGCTCTTCACAGAGGAGCTGGAAATGAAAGCCACAGTCTGGGGGCAGGACGGGGAAGTGAGGAGGACTCGGTGGACTTCGAATTGAACTGACAACACGCGAACATGTCCAGTGAAACCTGCACACACACTTCTGGGCCCTTGAGCACACTCACCAGGGTGGTGAGACAGCAGCATTGAAACCTTACCTGGAGACACCTCTTGTCATCACTATTTCCTGTTATTTTAAGGATGAATCTTGGAAATACTAGGTGTCATCTGTTTTAAAGAATTGAGTAATTATAGCAAATACCACACTCTCACACACTCTTAGTGTGGATTCTGAGAATTTTGCCTCGTCCCAATATCTGTTACTTCCCAGACTTTAGGACGTGTGACAGTTCATTCTCTCTTGTTTTATTTGTGTCACATAGAGGGCAGCGGGGCTCACATCATTTCCTGTCCCCGCACAAGACACAAGCTGCTGTCATTCATGAAGGGGTGCTCCTGCCCCGTGCTGAAGGGCCCATTCCTCAAGTTCTCCTCAAGTTCACTTCAAATATCTGCAGAAATGGCAGCCAGGATTATGCATGAAACAAATTTTCAGTTATCAAAAATGCTGCTTCCCCCAAATTTTCTTGCAGAAATCTTATAAAACCGAAAATCACTTGATTATTGAATTTTAAAGCTGGATAGAACATTAGCAACCTTCCGTTATAACATCTTCTATAAAAGGTAAGGAAAGGAAATCCAAATCACTAATGACAGGATCTAGACTAGAGCCTAGTTCTACTAATTAGCAATTCAATTCCGTATCTGAAATATTAGCACTGATACTCAGAAATTCTAAAATTAAAGATACACTGGAAACAAGGTAAGTGCGATGGCCACTCTAGGAATCTAATCAAATAGATGTACTGGTGGAGGAATGATTCATTTTCAAGTAATGATAATGGTTTTTAAAATGTAGAAATAAACTCATATACTTCCACAGTATGCCAGAAGAAGAGATCAAAGTTATTTGGAGGCTTGCATGAAGTAAAATCAACATTTCAAAAACTAAAGTCAAATCAGGTCACCTTCATAAAGCATGATGCACCAAAATGCCTCTTGAGCTCAGGAATTAGGGGGTCTTTTCTACAAACAGCTGTGCAGTTCTAACCACATGATATGTATAAAATGGAAAAAGCATGGAGTTGTGGGAAACAGGGAAATATGAATGAAGATGCATAGGCTCAGAAAGCCTAGTTATTCACAAATCACAGGGATATTAATTTGCACTTATTGCCTTAGAGGCAGGTAGAGTTGGACACCCATGGAAACAGTGTTTGAATTAAAAAACAGAGAGAGGTAAAAATGGATGCGTTAGAATGGTTTGCTTGAGCAGTTATAGGATGACAAAGGAGACATTACTCTATGTTCAAATCCCAATGAGCAAGTTCTGAACTAAATCAGCTCTGGGATTTGATTTAAAATTTAAAACAAATTCTGGAAAGAGGTAGTACTTAATTCCTCCAGCAGATACCACTAATCGCAATATTTTAAATTGCTCAGTGGTGAAGGGTAAACTGGCACGAGCATGTACATTTGGCCAGTAGTAGCACAACTGCATGTAAGTTTCCATCAGCAGGGACCTCTGGTTTAATACATCTTTCCATTTGCATATGTTTTTCTTAGTGAGAAGTACCTCAAATTTTTACCATTGTAAGACTAGAAAATTCTTACAAATGTGTTGCAGAACCCACATTTTACACATTTTAATTAAACAAATCCACACATCTAGGTTCCTGTGATTGGTCAGGGCCATTATCTTCCCTTTTAAACTCATGGTTCAAAAAGTATAAGATAACGATGAGGTCAGTCCGATAAAATGTGCTAAACCTAAATCAGATTTTAGTGTTAATTCATTTGGTAACTTATTTTCATCTTGAAAAACAATGGCTGCCATTCATCACCACTGTCATCATCACTATCCACAGCCATGAGAACAAGCATTTCTGGATCATCAGCTGTGAACATGCTTGGGACATCCCACCGACCAGAGGGCAGTCCTTCGACAAGTACTTCAAGTTAGACATCTGGACCTATCGTGTAAAAGCAGTGATGGAGAAAGGTTTAGCTCCAGGAGCTGGAGAGCCATTGCACGTTTTCGTGGCCGGAGAGGAGCAGATATTCTGCTGGGAGAAGATCAATGGGATGCTACAGGAGTGTTTGGCTGGAGTGGTTATGGACATCTCTCACAATCTCCTCTATGTACATGAGGCTAAAATGGGATAGAAACCTGCCGACCCTAAGTAACAGTTCCCCAAGGAACATCCTAATGTTAGGGGTATACAACAGTCCTAAAGAACAGCAGTGACTTATCTCTGAGTCATGAGGGGTCCGATACACTTGAAATCCAGGCCAACCTGCAGCAATTGTCTTCCATCAATGCCTACACCAAGAAAAAATCATTATAGACTCCATTCAGGGTGATTTTCTTTACTGCCAAGCTCCTGTTTCCAAAAGAGGTAGGCCTGGGAACTGTCCCTACCAGCTCCTATCAAAGCCACATCCTCCTGGGCGGAGCTCCAAGTCTGGGTGAGGCCTGGCAGGGAGAAGAACCCCTTCGCCATGGCCACCCACACGTTCCCTTTAAAGACTGAAACTCAGCAGATTTGGGCTTGTGGCACAGAGCAGAAGCTGAGAGGAACACCGCTTTAAGCAGGATAGGGAGGTCTCCTCTCTGGAGAACTCATCAGCCATGGCGAAGGTGTTTCTACAAAGAATTGCTCTTGCCTAACGAGAGCCCTAAAGAACCATAAGGCAAGAGGACCATGGAGTTGCCAAGACTAAGACTAAGACTTGCTGATCATTGCCACCTGACAAAGTTGTGCCTGACTGATCACTCACCCTGAGAGGATGGTGATAGAGCTCTGAAGCATGATTAGTAGCAGCAGATATTACTAACGTCTACTACTAGTAGTCTAGTAGCTGTCAGTCGATATCTGCTATTAGATATTAGCAGTAGTATATTTGAAAGAGAAACTTCCCTTCAAACAGAGGTTGTATGCACTGTGTTCTCTTGTTCCAGCAAAGTCTTGGAAGCACTTCTTTGTAGGTGCCTTGGCACACTGTATTCCGAGGGGTTTCTCCCTCCAGTTTAGAAATGACATTAACTGTCTTTCCCCCACTCTACGCCACCGCGCCGTGATCTGCACCCGCCTTCTCCAGTGTCTGCGGAGGTGCCGGGCTGGGGAGAGCCAATCTCACCCACCCACTTTCATCCCAAGGAGACTCAAAGTGGTTCTGGGACACAGGGAGGGATAACAACGATGCAGAACACAGCCACATCCACGCGGCTCAGACAGGTGGCTCCAGAACCTGTCGCCTGGAAGAAATTGGGCTGTCTGGGACCTGGGCAGGGGTGGGGGGCAGAAGGGCACAGAAAGTGAAGTTGATAATCTCTTCTCAGTTCTATTAGCAGCAGCTTGAAATGACTTCATGCCTTTCCCAGCACTCCTAATTCCTCTGCGGTGGAAGTGACCAAGGAATTACAGCTACAGCCATTTCTGAGAGTCTGGGTTGTGACCTCATTTCCGTCTCAGTGGATCTTCGGCTACTTATTTACTTCCCAGAATCAATCAGAACAGGTTAGAATTGCTCGAATATTATTTTGTATTAAGATCTCCCTTCCCTCCTCATTTGTGGTTAGAGGTGGGGGTCAGGGGTCAGGCATGGAGGGAAGACAGTCCCCAGAACACTAGTTGATGGGATTTGGGGTCATTTGCTACCAAACGCAATGTTCAAGGCAGGTCTCATTGTTTTGTATTTTGTTCTTTTAGCAGCAGCTTCCCTCTGCTGCCTCACAGAAATCATCAGACCTGAAAGCCTTCTCCCTGACTGGACTTGACACGCCGCCCGGTTAGGAGGAGAGGTGTCCAGACACGAGCAGGACGCCCGGGAGCCGACCCATGCCACGCCCTGCTTCTGTGACGGGGACGAGGGGCCTCACGACCTCTGCTTGTCACTGCAGCACTTGCCACAGAAAGACCTCCCCTCACACACCCCAGGAGGGGTCTAGAGCCCACCCCCATCTTCAAACCTGAGCCGGGCAGGCTCTGCCCCCCACGGCCCGCAGAATGAGGTACCACACCAGGTGAAGAGGGACATGGAACACTTTTTAATGTCAAGTCAGAGACAACCCCTCCCTCCCCGGCCCCCCAATCCCACTTTCCCTCATCATATCCAGGACCCTTCCCCGAGGCTTCTCTGGTTCCCAGACTTCGGGGGAGGAACAAAAAAGTTACCTAAAAATTTCATTTTCTTCTCTTTCATACACACTCACACAAAGATGGGAAATTAACTTAAATAAAGCAAGAGGATTAAACTCTCCAGTGGTCACAAAGGCATCGGAGATTCCCGTAACGGGCGGAAGCAAGTGGTTACTGGCGGTTTAGTCTGTCCAGCTGCTCGCTGGCTGTTAATGCCAGGGCGGGACGGGGCAGGGGCCGCCGGGCGGCCAGCGCTGCGAGCCGCGCCCGGAAAGATGCTGCGCCTGGTATTAGTTGTTTGCTTTCTGTCTGTGTTTTTGTGTTTTCTTTTCACTTCTTATAAATGTCTCTGACATGTAAATAACCCAAGAAAATAAAAAGGCAGGAGCTGATTACACAATTACCAGTAAACTCTATCATCTTGTAGAAGATCAACACACAGCTAACGCCATATACAGCATGCAGTAATGTCTGAGAAAGGGCCCTGCTGAGAAACAAAACGGCTAGAACTCTAACAAAAAAAATATATGTATATATATACTGTATAATATATGTCATCAAAAGAAGCATAGCCAACGAACCCAAGATACAGTGCAGATCACCTTTCCGTTCTAACGTGTGTCGATAGCGTAGTGTTGTCTGCATGAGATGCCAGAGTAAGGAGGAATCTGTAGCGCTGGTGGAGATGTTGGTAAAATCGGTATTTTTTTGGTGGATATGCCAAATCCTCACCAGGTGGTTAATGCCCAGTGTGTGGTCCACCAGTTGTAAACCTTGTTAAGAAGTACACTATTCACTTTTAATGTTTAACATACATACTTCTCGTCACCCCTTTCAACTGTGTATTTTTTAGTTTTGTCTTGTTTTTGCACTTAGTTCTAGACTCATATCAGAAAATATAATTAATAAAATTAATAATGAATCAGAATCTCTTATTATCCATGATGTCCATGTAGTAAAATGAAAAGAAACAAAAAGTTTAACGATATCTTTTGTGACTGTTTGTGGATTGCTGTTGCTGTCGGGCTGTCTTGTTTTGTTTTCCTTTTCTTTCTTTATCTTTTAATGTCATGTGTGGTAACACACACAGTGGTGGCACAGTCTACCAAAGGACCCGCTGTACCACTTCTGGGCCTGAGTGTCTCACTCTGTGTCCGCCTCTGATGACTGATTGAATTTGGGATGGCCGACTCCAGAATGTTCCATGGTTGGGAGCACTTTGTGGGCAGAGTGGCTGGGCCCTTGCCCATGCTGGCAACAAAGAGGTCTCACAATGCTGCAGCTTGCGGGTGGGTCCAAGCCGGGTGTGCGTTCTTCCCATTTGGGAAAAGAAAGAAAACTCAGTTGTACCTAAATATCTGCAAGGCAATTTTCAATTTCCTTTTTTAAACTTTTTCCCCCCCCCAAAGTATTCTTTGTTCCCCTCCCTCGAATTTCTGTCCCATTAGGCTGTGTTTCTCCGAATTTCATTTGAACAGATCTGATCTGTGGCGTGTCGTGTTGCCGTAGCTGTTGCCTGGGTGGCTGCAGGGCGGCGGCTTTCCCCGGGGGGGAGTGGCACTCACATCAAAACTTGAGGAGGAGGTGCAAGACCAGGAGAGGGAGCAGCCAAATGCAGCCTGCCCTCCTCGACGTGCTGTTGTTCACTTCGCTGACTGCGCCCGGGCCTACGGAGAGAACACACCGCCGTGAGCCGCCGGGTACACGGCAGAAGAAAGCCCCATGCGTGCCTGGTCTGCCTCATTAGGCCTGTCCCTGGTCAGATGTCCCTCTGAGCGGAACACTGGTGTTCCAGCTCCATCGTGAGGAATGACCTTCCTACGGCGTGGGTCTCCCGGAGGCGCCCGCCATGGAATGGGAAGGCTTTCCTTGCAGGGAGAGAACTTGAAACTCGGGTTAAAGGGTCCTGATGGCCAGTATTCCTTTACTGTGGCGTGACATGCTAAGGCCATAGCTCAGGATCAAATTCAAGAAGCAAGTGGCAGAGGAATTAGTGTCCTACACAGAGCTTTCATAAAGTGAGACTCCTGTGCTGTTCGCACCATCACCCAACGCTTCCCAGCACTGCCTGCCTTCGACACTCACACCCCCCTCCGGCCGCCCTGCCTGTTGCTTGGGAAAGCACCTGCTGCACGCGGCAAGCTGTCCGCCTGCTGCTGCCGCCGCCTCGGGCACACGGGCCATTCTGCCAGCCACTCTGTCTCGGGGCAGGGCACGGGCCCACCTGGAGCGCCTGCCCTCTTCCCCATCTGGACGAGGCAACAGCTGACGCAGACCTAGTACCACATGCCCCAAAGGCCAAAGCAGTCCGCACGGAGTGGAGGCAGGGTCAGGTAAAGAAACCGGAGGCCTTTTGCTGTGCACGTGGGTGTGACTGGAGGTTTATGTGGACGCTGGGATGCAGAGCCTGCCCCCGTGCGTGTCCTTGTTGGGGAGATGGGGGCAAGTTTTCCTTCAAGACATGACCGACCTAGTCTACAAACAGGTACTTTCTGAGACTGTGACAAATGCAGGAGACAAGAGAATTACAAGGTCATAAAATTCCCCAGCAGTTTCCCTATTGCGCTGAAACATAAGCTTTGAGGCTACCTCACCCTGTGGCCGAGAGCTGCCATAACCAGTGGAGCTGTGTTTCCTGGACAGTGCGTGCGTTCACATGCCCCGCAGAAGGAGCTACCTAAGGAGCCAGGCCGCCTTCTCTGGCATGCTCCGTTGCAATGAATGTAATGGGGTATTTAAAGCTGGTGGCCTCGCAGAGTTCACGTCCTCATGGGGTGGGGAATAAGGAGCCGGAGACTGCTCGCCTGTCTGGGGGGCTCAGCATTGGAGACACTGCTGCCTAAAGCAGATCTGAATCAAACCAGGCTTCCTGATTCCATAGGGATTATTCCATCAAGTTCTAGAACTGGCCTGGAGGCCCTGCTCATCTGATGTTGTTTCTTAGCCCTTTGGGATAAACCTCTGCTTTGAGGGCAGTGGCTAAATAAATAGCCACAAGTTTTAAAACGAGACAGGTCATCCAACCTCATGTTTCCCTGGGGTCTTGTGTGCAGCAATCCCACTATTTGGCGGTGCAGGTCCCCGTGCTGAGAAGCTCTGGGGATCCCCATTCTGCTCCCCATCCTGCAGAAAGGTGACGTGCTAGGCAATGCAAAACCAAAGGCGTCCATGGTGGGATACAGGTGCCCGAGGAACATTCCCGCAGAGCTCCCAAGGATGTATACTTTAATTGTGGAGATGCTATCATTTAGGGTTTATCACTAATCAGTTGTGTCTTCTAGAATCTAACTACACATTTCTGCATAAACCATGACCAGAAACTCCCTCGTTATATCCACTCACCCTGTCTGCATAGCACAATCTTTGGAATCAAAGAAGAGAAGCTGCAGCCATTGCTTCAGGGGTGAGAGGTTATGTCTCTCCCTTGAGGAAGTCCTTTACTTCTCTGCCAGCCCCAGATCCATCCCACCAAGACCTTTGCCTGCACCAGTGCTTCAGGCCGAGGGCCCTGAGACACAAAGGCTGGTTCTGAACCCTCTGGCCCAGCGGCCTTTGCGGGAGCCAGGTCGCGTCCCATCCTCACAGGCGTGTTGCGCAGTATGATCCCAAACACGTCCTGCACACCTGGCATAGTGTGCTCCGGCAGGACGTGGCCCTTTTGCTCTCCTGACCTCATGCACACAGCTTTGACACCTGCCCCTCATTCAATCCCAGTGCCCGCCCCCCCACATCGTCCCTCCTGGCCTGCAGCCAAGATGCCCTGGGGTCAAAGAGACAGGAGCAAGTGCCACTTCCCTGCCTTGAGATGCTCTCTCCTTCCCTCCTGCACCCCTCCTTGCAGGGCCACCAGCCGGTGGAAGTCTCCAGGGAGGAGAATACCGCAGACAGGTGTTCGGCCCAGTGGGGGCCTGGCTTGGTTGCCATGTAAGAAAAGACTGAAAACCTTGTTTCCAGGCTTGGGATTCTGCTGCTCAGAGGCGGCTGTGGACTGGCAAGTGCCCCCTGCGGCATGTCTCAATGCCCTGGCGGCTGTGCCAGGTGCTCTCCCTGGGCGCATGTGTTCACAGCTCGTTTGTGGCTCTGCTCCCTGCTGGGAAGCACCACAGAGAGCTTGTAGGGAGGGGTCCTGACCTGTCGTGTCAGACAACTATCCCGTAGAAGACAGAAAAAGGCCACCAAGTGCCTGCCAACACCCTCTTGCTGGTCACGTATCCAGGGAAGCCCCAGGGGCCTCTGTGGCTGCCCGTCTCCGACTCAGCTCTCGCGAGGCTGGCCCGGGCTGTGCCTGACCACGTCCAGCCTGCCCAGCGTCCCCACCCCCCACTCGCCCACTTCCAGGGCCCCGTCTGTTCCTTCTGCACATCCAGGAAACCTGACCTGGACCACGCCGGACAGAGGGAGGAGGAAACAAGGTAGTCCCCAAGGCAGGGCTGCCCACACCTTTCAAACGGCCGGCGTCACCTCACTTTCAATTCCCCAGAAAGCTCACAAATCGGGCCTTGATCCCTCAGATTTATTCCTTATGCTAATTCCAGGCTGGTGTTTCTACAATGCCAAATTGATCATGCTACTAATCTGTTTGAGTCCGACAGCCTGCACAAAATTCCCAGCTTCTTGGTAAAATGTGCGCTACATTTCGTGGTCTGCCTGCTGCCTCCATCCTTCGTCTGTCTCCCTGCTGTGCACGTATGGTGTCCCCACCCTGTGGGACACAGGCAGGTACAGTGCACACGGGCAGGTGTCCTCTGGCAGCACCTTCTGTCTTTCCCATCCTTATGCACTCTCCCCCT